GATGGTTTTGCAAACGGCACGGTCACACTTCGAAGTTGCACGTAACCCGACCACGCTGTTGTCAGAGCGTTGCGTAGAGCAATTACGACTTGTCCGGGAATGACGATGCCAACGATGGGCCGCACATAATTATTGGGAACATTATGGGCACATATTAGACTGATGACACACATCTTGAGTACCGTCAACCTATCAAACGCAAAAGCTACATGTTACGTAGTTTAGTCCGCCGCACACGTGCACGCAAACGGGAGAAGACGGCGGAAGAACTTAGGAGGCGACGCAACTAGGGCGCCAAGCTGACGCACACAGACTGGCACGGGCACTGGCAGGACGCCCAGCCGGGGCAACAAATCGCACACGCAATCACGTTGCAGGTTTCACCCCAGACTTTGAAGAGCTACAAGAATCGATGTGTGCTAAAGGTGCTGGTGGAGGTATGGAAGCAAGACGTCTTGCTGACGATCAACAGCGACCGTCAGATGTTGTTTGGCAGTCCCTCCCACTGCTGGACGTCTCATTCGAACCGCGAAGACGGAGACGATAGCAGACGCACCAATCAATCGCTTCCTTTGGAAGCTACGCCGAGCCAAGGAAAGACGGGCCACGGGGGGCTAGAGCGCGCCAGTGCAGATAGCGCCCATGATACCCGACCCTCTCCATCCTACGCGCGCGCGCCCCCAACGCTCCGGCATTGGGCTTGATTCCACGGAGAGTGTTGGAAGGGGGTTGGGATTTCAAGGGTGCCAGGGAGGGGTCACAGGGGTCTCAGGATGAACGCGAGGTGGGAGGAGGTGAGCGTAGCAAGGACGACCACGTGCATCTTTTGAAAAGCACGTCCTCTCTGCTGCGAGCCAGGAGTGAGCATGTGGAAATGCTCGCCCATGCCCAGCAAGTGGAACAATTGCCGACCGAAGTAAATACTACCGAGGCGGTATTCCTGGACAAGTGGAAGGGTCAACAGAAGAGGAGACGAGTTCGAGTCATCCATCTCCTGGACGCGCTCTGGAAGTTCTGGCGCCCAGTGGTTTACACACGGGGAGAGGAGGCAAAGGAAAATGATGCTGGTTCCCCTGGCTGGTGGCATGGTGTTTTGGAGGCGCAGGCGCCGCGAGGGCGCTGTTCTCGTGCAGCGGAGAGTTGGACATGCGCTCCGATCGCTTGGCATCCCACATCTCAACGAATTGTGCGATCTCAGCAACGAATGCACGCGCGCTTTCACGCGTCCGATCACGGGGCCTCTCCTCTCTCTGAGCGAACGCATTGTACGCCCTGAATGACAGGTTTTTGCCGGGCACAGGCTCGAGAATGGAGCTGTGGGTTTCAAGTTGTGGGAAGAACCATACCATTTGTTGACAAAACATCGCGGCGTCCAGGGTTTTTGCGAGATGCCGAAGCAGTTTGTCGTTTTTGTTCATGCGACGACTGGAAAGATCCGAGCACATCCCACGCGCGCATACATAGCAGCACAGTGCGAAGTACTGAATAAGGACATCATCGATTGATCGCTCGCGGGCTCCGCGGGCGACGCCTTCCGCAAGCGCCTGCCCCCGCGGGGGCTGAGCATACCTCGAGTGATTGAGTAAACTGTTGAGAGCGGCAGGGCGATGACTGAGATCCTCTCTGAGGACTGTTTTTCAAAAAGCATGTTGAAACAGTAATATATAGCGCCGCGTCTTGGACCGACGACCTCGAACCGCGCGCCCCAGGAGACTCGTTCAAAAACACAGTGGGAGGTGCAAGCACGCGCGCGACATTTAGGGGCACGCTACTCTACGAGGGGGAACGTTGGGGTGGAAATTGCGCTGCGCATCGAAGGTACGAGGGCTGGTTGGAGCACCGCGGGGCTTTCCCGGCACGAACGGGGCCCCCGACGCCTCCAGAGCGAATTTTTCCTGAGTGCCGTGGTCGAAAGGGGCCCGACCGGCCTGGGGGCTTCTGTGTTACCCCAAAGTGAACATGCTCGGCTAGATACTATTGTTGTGAGATATCTTCGGGCGCCGATGAAGGGCCGGGCCACGGACCGGCCGGGGCCCCGCGCGGTTTCTACGACCAACGGCGACGCACTTCTGGAATGGAGGATTCGACCGAGCTCGAGGGATCTAGTCGTCAGAAGAGTTAGATGGTTGCAAGGTATGATTAGATGCCCCACGGTTCGCAAGCAAAGGATTGCTACGCTCTGTGGACATGTGGTACATGAGCCCACTAAGCTAAGGGAGTCTGGACAAAAACCAATCGCATGCGAATCCTTGGCTGCTACAATTTAAACGAGAGCTGGAATTAAATCGCGGCGCGAGCTGTACAGAGAGCTGTTTTGAAGTATGGGGGGGGGGGGGGGGGGGCGAAATGATTCCTGGATTGAATGATTCGATTGTGAATCGGACGTTGCACATGAGCGCTTGGCAAATGATCCTGGCATTTAGCGGGCAGTAGTATTTGCGAATTCAGTTTTTTGTTGTTTTGACCAGCCGTTTCGTCCTGCCTTTGCACAGCAGCAACAAGAACAGGGAGTTGAGCGAATCAAGCGCACGATCCCAGACGCCTCCGGCGTTCCTTGCGCCCTTGGGTTCTCGGCTCCCCAGCAGCTCATCGCGCGCCAAACATCGCGCTTTGGGGTGCGGTCTATTCTAAACTCAGGAGTCACTACAAATTAATGCCCTAGTTGTTGTTCAGTATTTCGGGATGTCGGTTGTACACGACACCATCTCAAACGAGCGCACGCACGGGGGAGATGTCATTTGGACCGAGCACACATGACATGGGAATTGCAGGCATCATATTCATACAGTGTGGAGTGTGTTCCGTAGTTCCTGATACCTCAAACAGGCTTTTCGCGCGCCTTCGACTAGTGCATACGCCGATGCCCCTACCGCGCCTCTTGCTATCGAGAGGTGCTCACGCACGCGCTGCGTCGGCGGCGGCACATGCCAGGAAGCCTCGGCTCAAAAGAGGGCCCCACTGGACACGGTCGAGACTCTCGCGCTCGGCGCAACATGATCCAGCAGACCAGTCAAAGAAGGAGAGCGGGCCCAAGGAAGTCAAAGCACTCAAGCAGGACGAGAAGACGATGCTCGGCCTTATGTCCGGGCAGACTCTACGATCCGCTCAGCGGGCGCGCGACATGCAGGCGGCCATCTACGGCGCTTAGTTGATGCTGGAGACATGCTCAGCGGCGCCGGCGTCGCAGAAACAGACGTCGAACTACGCCGACGACGTGGGAGAGCAAGAAAGAACACGATCTCGAGCTACCCTGTATACATATGCAATGGGCGGGGCTCTCAAGACGCACTCGGAGGCGAAGATCGGACAGGGCGGCACGCCAGGCTTCACACTCACAGAAGCATTACAGGCATACCCTCGGGAAGCACACACGAAGTGCGAGCAATGGTCGGCCGAGAGGGAGCGCGTTCTGATTCTACCTTGCAGAGCGGAGAAGGTCTACCAGCGCGACACGAAGAAGATTACGGTCGCCTTTCGCGACGCACACCTTCGCATCTTGATGCGCAAGGCCTTCGCCAGCACGTAGGGAGCAGTCAAGAAAATGGGCAGAGCTCCAGCGACCTGTCCTCGAGCGCGAGCTGCAGGAGCGGCTCGAGGGCATGGGGGGCTAGAGGTCCCTATGGCGCGCAGTAAAATAACATTATGGGACGGCGCCTCACATGTCATACCAACGGTCAGAACATGAAGATCATAATGCACATCGGGAGCGAGGTGATACCCCTTCCCTTCCCCCCTGCTCAGGCGCATCGAGCGGTATATAGGTCAAGGCTTCCGAGGTCGGAGGGTTCTCTTCCAGAACGTGTACTTCCAGGTGCCCCCTCCCGCATGCGTCTAGCAATTGATGTTTTAGCTCCACGTCAACTAATGCCCGGCACTACGATTTACGATAGTATGTTATCATGTGAGCGCACGTTTTATCTTGCCATGGCGTGGTATAGTGCACAGAAGTAGTCTGAATAGGTCGCGCGCGGGAGGGATAGCTGTGTAGGTAGTTGCGGGAGGGAGCCCATCAGCCAACGGGGATCCTCCCAATGAGGGAGATCTTCTTTGGTTTTTGGGGCTGCCTTTCGTCGGCTGTGTGCCCCTGGGGCTTTTTCGGGATAGTGTGCCGCGGGATAATGAATGTCCCCCACAGTCCTCTCATTCGTTGATGACGGTGGGGATGTGCCCTGGGACCGAGACGGCCCCGCAGGGCAACGCCCCGTCACTTCAAGGCCAAGTTTTCGATGCGTCCCGCTAGAGCAGGATCACCGCACCAGAACCCTAGACGTGTAGTTCATACGCTGCCGAAGGAATTCTGAATAGCATGGCCGTTCCCAAGTGCACGGCAGAGGCAGATAGAGATGGCGCCAATGGTGATTCGAAACTATTCTAATACTCTTCATCCTTATCCTCATCCTCCCGCTCATCCCTGTCATTATCCACCTTGCTCCGAGATTCAAGAAGTTGAATCAGGGCGCACGGCGTAGAAGTATTCTCAGGACAGCCGTTACCTACGTAGTGCCGGCCGAGTGAGATATTCAGTTTAAGCTCTTCATAATCATCGAGAGAAAGGGTTGATGATCAAATCCGCATCATCGTCATACTTTTCAATAACATCCAACCTCCAACCCTTTCTCGTGTTCTTTTTCACCGTTACCCTCCACAACCCCATCCGCCTCCTCCCCTTGTCCCTTTCTCTTCCCATGACATCATCCTCCTCCCCCTTCCTCCTCCGCCTCCTCCTCCTCCTCCCACTCTTCCTCCCCATCCCTTTCACCCCCTGCCCATCATTCCGGGAGGATACAATCGGCCCGGATTAGGAGGTCGACCCTGCCAGCTCAAGGGTACCCTTGTGTCCTGTGCCTCGCGACACGTGCCTTCTTGCACTCCTATGGCGATGTGGCCCTCGGAAGGGTCTTGCGTCGTCTCGCATGTCGTCTCCAATCAAGGCCAACTGTAGTCCCACCCCCTCCTCCGCTCCCGCCCCCTCTTGCTGCCCTCTGCAGCCCCCGGCCCAGGCGCCCCGAACGATCGAGGCCCTCTTCGACATGGTCCGCAAGCAGGAAAGAGGAGGTGGCTCTCGATCGCCCTCGCCATCGCAGGAGGAAGAGGAGTGGGTCTCCTGCCACTGTTGCGCGCAGGCTGCTCGTGATCCTTGGCCTCACATTGTTGCACACTGGTTCCCTCGCCGCAACCATCAGATGGTGTTTGAAGGCCCAATGGGGCAAGGGCTACGGTAGAGGGAAATAATTCATGGACGCTCCCCTCCCCCTTTCCCCCAAAATTCAAAGTTGGCACGCGCGGGGGAGACTGCGGTTGAAGTGCAACGCATCAGTCCCACCGCCAACTTTGAACATTGGGGGAGGGGGAGGCGTTGACCGAAGAATGTGGCATGAGTGTTCGCTATTTTTGCTCCGAGGCCTGTATTGCCGAACGCGCTAGACAACACCAGCGACACCATGTACATCGTACATTCCGCGTGTAGTGAGGAGGGTGTCTTGGGCTTCCGCCGTCTCTCCTTCCCTTGCTCGCGCCGCCCTACCGCTCGCTGTCCGTTCGCTTGCTCGGCTCCCGACGCCACTCCTATTGAGAGTTCCCCTCTGGCGTCCCTTGCCGACGAAGCACTTCAAGGCTCATTGCTTCACCAGTTGTGCCAGTCTTCTGTGGCACCGCTTCCTCTGTTTGCGTTTTCCTTGCTTTGCCGGTACACGTGCCCGCTCTGACGATGCAGTTTGCGGCTCGCGCCGTCATCAACCACGGTTGCGTTGGATGTCGACGAAGATATCTCACGTCGTTGTCCTCCTTGTTTGTATACGATCAGGTGGCAAAAAGTTCGTGGTGAAATTCTACATGATCGAAGTGTACAAGCAGGACCGCGGAGAAACGCCACGCAGCGCACAATGTCGGATCGACGTGTCACCCCCGAGGAGGAGGAGGAGGAGGAGGAGGAGGAGGAGGAGCGAACGAACGGAAACGCCCTTGTGGCAGGTAGTTCCCCCCCCCTGGCGGAAGCGGCATGGGCAGAGGCCCCGGTCGGAGCCAGGCTCGAGTGGGGCCAGGGGCTCTTCATCTGCCGACTCGTTTTTCCATAGGACAAGTGCTTCGCGCAGTGAGAGCCATCTGGGGACGGAGGAGGAGGTGGGCTTCTCCTGGTGCTCCCCCTGCTAGAGGTTTCAGGTCGGGGGCGGAAAAAAGGGGGGGGATGACTAGGGGGGGGGGGATATCATGGCGGGGGCCATGATATTTCCCCAGATTTCATGGCGCCTCTCCTTATTTCATTACGCCCCTGGCCCCCCCGCTGGGCCGCGCACATGCCGCCGGTCATGATTTGCACCGCCCCCTCTTGGACACCCCCCTCTTGGCCGCTCCCGATCCTGCTAAGGGTCTCAGGATGTAGGCCGCCGGAGGTCCACAGAGGCGTCCAGAGGCCGCAGAGGGTCCAGGAACCCAGGAACCCAGATCCCCGACGGCATGATCTGTTCCTCGATCCTCGGCCGTCCTCTGCCTCCTCCTGCCTCCCTGCGCCCCTGCTGGCGTCTTCCCGGACTCGGAGCAGGAGGCGGGGCGCTCCTTGCTTCTTTGATCTTGGCATCGCTCGGACGTGTGCGTTTTTTCCTCAGCGAGGACCATCGAGGAGCATCCTCGACCATTTGGCGAAAAAAACACGCACGAAACCGAAAATTATCCTGGCGAAGGACCCAACCATATGCAATTGTGAGTACCGCAATTGTGAATATCTTCTTCGGTGGCGCTCCCTATGGGGCCACGAAACGTGTGAGGGGTGTGCCGAAATGGGTGTGCGGGACGAATGCGGGCACACCCACTGGGACCTTCGGTGGAGCTCCCTATGGGGACCTTCGGTGGAGCTCCCTATGGGGCCACGAAACGTGTGAGGGGTGTGCCGAAATGGGTGTGCGGGACGCATGCGGGCACACCCACTGGGACCTTCGGTGGAGCCCCCTACGGGGCCACGAAACGTGCGAGGGGTGTACCGAAATGGGTGTGCGGGACGCATGCGGGCACACCCACTGGAGCCTTCGGCGGAGCTCCCTATGGGACCACGAAACGTGTGAGGGGTCGCGAAACGCGTGAGGGGTGTGCCGAAATGGGTGTGCGGGACGCATGCGGGCACACCCACTGGGGCCTTCGGCGGAGCTCCCTATGGGGCCACGAAACGTGTGAAGGGTATGCCGAAATGGGTGTGCGGGACGCATGCGGGCTGCAGCACTGGGACCTTCGGTGGAGCCCCCATACGGGGCCACGAAACGTGCGAGGGGTGTGCCGAAATGGGTGTGCGGGACGCATGCGGGCACACCCACTGCGGCCTTCGGTGGAGCTCCCTATGGGACCACGAAACGTGTGAGGGGTCACGAAACGCGTGAGGGTGTGCCGAAATGGGTGTGCGGGACGCATGCGGGCGGCACCACTGGGACCTTCGGCGGAGCTCCCTATGGGGCCACGAAACGCGTGAGGGGTGTGCCGAAATGGGTGTGCGGGACGCATGCGGGCGGCAGCACTGGGGCCTTCGGTGGAGCTCCCTGTGGGGCCACGAAACGTGTGAGGGTGTGCCGAAATGAATGTGCGGGACGCATCCGGGACCTTCGGTGGAGGCACGAACGAAAACGCACAGCAGGGAGCTCCCGGGCGTGTGACTGCGGGAATTGGGGCCTTCGGCGGAGCTCCTATGGGCCACGAAACGTGTGAGTGTGCGTTCGGGCGGCAGCACTGGGGCCTTCGGCGGAGCTCCTATGGGGCCACGAACGTGTGAGGGGTGTGCCGAAATGGGTGTGGTGACGCATGCGGGCGGCAGCACTGGGGCCTTCGGCGGAGCTCCCTATGGGGCCACGAAACGTGTGAGGGGTGTGCCGAAATGGGTGTGCGTGACGCATGCGGGCGGCAGCACTGGGGCCTTCGGCGGAGCTCCCTATGGGGCCACGAAACGTGTGAGGGGTGTGCCGAATTGGGTGTGCGTGACGCATGCGGGCGGCAGCACTGGGGCCTTCGGCGGAGCTCCCTATGGGGCCACGAAACGTGTGAGGGGTGTGCCGAATTGGGTGTGCGTGACGCATGCGGGCGGCAGCACTGGGGCCTTCGGCGGAGCTCCCTATGGGGCCACGAAACGTGTGAGGGGTGTGCCGAATTGGGTGTGCGTGACGCATGCGGGCGGCAGCACTGGGGCCTTCGGTGGAGCTCCCTATGGGGCCACGAAACGTGTGAGGGGTGTGCCGAATTGGGTGTGCGTGACGCATGCGGGCGGCAGCACTGGGGCCTTCGGCGGAGCTCCCTATGGGGCCACGAAACGTGTGAGGGGTGTGCCGAATTGGGTGTGCGTGACGCATGCGGGCGGCAGCACTGGGGCCTTCGGCGGAGCTCCCTATTGGGCCACGAAACGTGTGACGAAACGCATGCGGGCGGCAGCACTGGGGCCTTCGGTATATGGGCCACGAAACGTGTGGGTGTGCCGAATTGACGCATGCGGGCGGCAGCACTGGGGCCTTCGGCGGAGCTCCCTATGGGGCCACGAAACGCGTGAGGGGTGTGCCGAATTGGGTGTGCGTGACGCATGCGGGCGGCAGCACTGGGGCCTTCGGCGGAGCTCCTTATGGGGCCACGAAACGTGTGAGGGGTGTGCCGAAGTGGCGTGGCCGACGCGGAGGGGGAGGAGGGAGGAGGGGGAGGAGGAGTGAGTGAGGGACGCGGGGCGCTGTCTCTTCAAAACGAGGACCCAACACCACAGGATGGTTGGGAAAAACACAGGGCATGAACGTCCGAGCGATGGCCAGTGATGCTCATGAATGAAACAGTGGGAGTGCGCATCAAGAAACGATATACGTTTCGCCTGGGTGTCCTGGGTTTCTTCGCTCCACGCGCTGCGCGGTGACTTCCCGCAGCCGCTGGAGAAGCTGCTGCGTTCAGGGTGCTCCGGGCTTCCCCTCAGCACCTCGCGCGCGGGTGTCCAGGGTTGGATGTCTTGCGAGGGTTTCCTGCGGCCGCGCCCGCACTGTCGTGCGTCCTGTTGCCATAGCAATCGTCCCGAGTACGCTGACCTCAGCCATACCGCCGTTCGACGACGACGACGACGACGACGACGACGACGACGACGACGACGACGACAACGACGAGGACGACGACGAGGACGACGACGACGACGACGACGACGACGACGACGACGACGAGGACGACGACGACGACGACGACGACGACGACGACGACGACGAGGACGAGGACGACGACGACGACGACGACGACGACGACGACGACGACGACGACGACCGTACGACCCGGCGCCCCTGCCCTGCACCCTCGGCGGCGGGGTCTCGAGAGGGCGGCTGGCCTCCCCGGGGGGCGGCCCTCGTTCGGCGGGCCGCCGCGGCGGGCGGAGGACATCATCGACCTGCTCGGAGACCCCTCGAAGCAGAAGAAGAGCCTGGAGGCCGGGTCGGGGGGCCTGGCATCGCTCGGACGTGTGCATGTTTCCTTCGGCGAGGACCATCGAGGAGCATCCTTGATCATTTCGCGAGAAAACCACGCACGAAACCGAAAAAAACACAGGAAATGGACGTCCGAGCGATGGCCAGGGGGGGGAACTCCAGGGCCCGGCCTTCTGGCCTCCGGGGGGAGGTGGCTGCTGTTTCGTTGCTATTCCTCCTCTTCCTCCTCCTGCTCCTCCTCCTCCTCCTCCTCCTCCTCCTCCTCCTCCTCCTCTTCTTAACCAGGCTGCTGGGCGCCACGGCCCGTAGCGTCAAACTCCTCGTCCTCCTCCTCCTCCTCCTCCTCCTCCTCCTCCTCCTCCTCCTCCTCCTCCTCCCCCTCGTGGACGGGCTCGCCTGTCGGGCGTTGCGAACTGGGGGGGAAGGGGCGCTCGATGGGTCGGCGAAGAGCCTGGGGGGTGAGAGTGAGAAGGGGCGGGCCTTGTGATCGTTTTTTTGTTCATTGTTTTGCCGATCGGTTTGGGCCCTCGCACCCTCCGGACGTTGGGGGCCCTTTGCAACCATTGGGGGGGGGCCCTTGCCCGGCCCCGGGGCCGTCAAGAAAGGGCTCGGGGTTTGAGGAGCTGGTCCTGGGGAAGAAGGGTCGGGACTTCGGGGGACCTCGCATGGTGATCGTGCTTGTATTCCTTGTTTTGCCGATCGGCGCGGGCCCCCAACCCTCCCCCCTCCCCCCCCCTGGAGTAGATCTTGGCTGTTTTTGGCGCCTGCAGGTGGAGCCTCCCCCATAATGGACGCACTGCTGCAAACAGTCGCACTAAGCCTTCTAAGAAGTTTTCTGAGGATTGCCTTCAGTCGAGCCTGTCCCTCTACAGGGGGGAAGATTCAAAAGTAGCCAAAAGATAGTCTGGGGACGATGCATTGACTATGCTTGAACATTTTTGAGTATTTTTGGGGGTATGTTTGATTTTTCTTCCAA